TGGGACGCATGTCACGGATCGCATGTGCCTGGTCTGAATGTGCATTGAAGCCCATCCGATGAAACGTTGTTTCAGAAGATATGTGGCTCGTAGAAAAAGCTCGTAGGATTGTAGAACCCTGGATCAATCCAAGTAGAACAATAATTACAACAATGTTTCGACTGTATGGTTTCCCTACAATCGCCTTTACCTATCGACCTATCCTCGTCTTCCTGTTCACTTCCTCTTGATGTCTGGCATCAATGGTCCTATTCTTAAATCCATTGGACATGAGACGATACTCAAGTTTCATAGAGACATGGGTTCGTGATGGTTCGTGAACAGTGAACAGGATCAGGTGTCTTTTTGCTTCCATCGATGTTTCCACTTGTTTGGCGGAACCCATTGCTTCACATTTGGTAAATTGCGCTCAGCGTGTCGTGCGTGCTCCATGTTGTCATCATCGCAACAGTTCATCGTCATGCAAACTGTGGTGCAATCCACATGTTTGCAACTTGATACATGCAAACACGTATGGGTTTTCTACAAGTATTGAGTGGACATGCACGCAACAATATTAACATCCCAAGTTCAAAAAATGCAGCGGAGCTACAATGAAAGCGTACAAACAAGCAATGTTGTTGTTGACGCTGATTATGAACATGCTGATGCATGCATGCATGCAGAATCACTCACAACATAATGTTGAGCAAAGTTAAACAGCACTCCTGTCTACGATACAGTAGTTATAAGATATTATAAGTTAACATGTTATAGTCTATGCCCTTTGCTGAATTGCAGCACACATAATTACAAACTGTTCATGATAAACCCTTGAACAAATCATGGGCGTGCCTAGGTGTGTGGTTCATGCCTCCCAAAAGGCAGTGCCCCAAATCAGGTGCGCGACGAGGTTTATCCCATCTCATCAGCACGACCAGGTGGTGCCGACGGCCGTTCCGGTGCGACACCGGCGATGCGACTGGTGACCGGCTGCGTCCTCACTTTGCCATCGATGAAATACGGGATGGTGCCTAACCTTGGAGCAGCAATCCGACTTGGAAGGACAATGATCTTGCATGGCTGCTGAGCAGAGTTCAAAGAGTTCTCATATGTTCTCATCAAGCATGTACTGTAAATCTTGAGCACAGTCTGGGGAGACTGATGATGTAAATCTCCATGTCTGAAGATTCATCTGATCATCTCTGATTCTGTACCACATTGAATGAACCTTTTCGGTGATTTGCACATGCAACCCTCACTTTGACAACATTAACTAATTTGGTTATTGCATGGTCGAATTTGATCCAATATGGGGTGATCAGAATCTGGATCTGCTCATGGTCATGGCGAAGTCAATCCAGGCAGCACGTTGATCTTCAAGTACTCGCGCACCTTGGCACATTGCTCTTTCAAAGGCTACTGGTGCACCCATTCCAAGCTACGACATGTGCGGACATTAAAATGACTCAACCATTCGGCGGCCTGTCGGTTCTCACCATGAAACAGCGAAACAGGTCGGCAATCCAAGCGGCAAAGACCCGTGGCGGAAAAGGCATGGTGATCAGCTTGCACTTCTCAGCAATCCCCATCTCCTGCCAGGCAGCCGTGATCAGCTGGGGTGACGAGTGGGGCATGTCGCTCAACGAGGCAGCCGGGCGGATCAGCTGGGTGGAAGGGAAGGCACGAGTGGCCCGTGTGTCAATATTGTGTCAGGTCTGGTGACTCACTAAAGAGAACCAACAACACGAGCCAGCTGTCAGGGATGCAGTTTGTCCAAACATCATGAACATTTTGACACTTCATGGGAAGATCGACTTCATCTATTTTCAAAGGTTTGGAATGCCAACTGGTAATAACTTTAACCGGTAAAGGTCCTGGCAACAAGTGCCCATAAACAAACTTGGGAAGCTCACGCGCTCCAGCGATCGCAAAAACACTCCGGATTTGCCGGAGGGAGCGTGGGAAAACAACAAGTTCTGGGTTCATCAGCTCCACCAAAACAAGGCACCAACAAAAATCTCGTCCTCTTTCAAAGTTCCTAGTGTTCACCTGATATGACGTAAGGCAAGGTTCGGTATATCCCAGATAAGCAGAATCCCTCCATCAACAGCGACCTGGGGACCGTCACGGCCGTCGCGGTGAGAATTTCTGGTACGTCTGCCGGCCCTTCCCTCATCCTTATCGTCCCGCCCCAACCACCGGGGCGCTCATGGAGGGTCCACAGGACGCGGAAGGATCTAGCTGACCTGGGTTTAGGTCGAGCAACAAAGCAATTTTGCTCACACCAACTGCGTTCAGCTCGACAGTCGTGTACAAAGATGTTCAGAACCATCAGCCGATTAGTCTACAGTGAAAACCTACAGTTTCTGGTTCTGATACGTCTAGCTCCAGTGAGCAAATGGTTGAATTCCTTGATGAACATGAAGGAAGTCCACGGCGTTGCGCTATTTCCTAAGTTGCAGCACCCTCACTCCAGTGATAGTGACGTATCCAGCAGACGCACTAAAAAGGTGCCAAAAGGAACAAACAAGCCTGGCAGGGTGATGCCGGATGTAGACATGTGCGAATAATTCCAACCACCAGAGTTCAGTCTTCCCTTTATGATGCCGAGCGCATCCTAGGAAAAGAGTCGTGTCAAGGTTGCCTACTGACAAACACAACATATTCCGCTCACAAGCACTGCAGAATGCAGAGCGAAACCCCTGTGACAAAACCCAAACTTATGACGATTGACTTGTATCTTTCAGGTCAATTCTTTGGGGTTCTGCGGTTCGTACATTGAAGCAGTCACAGTTCCAACTCTCTTTTGCGCCCCACACCAGTCCCTGGGGTCTGAGAACAACGCATGGTGTGGTACAGCCTCAGAAAGTCGAAACCGCTCTCTGCCACCCCGTTCGTAGCTTCCTTACTCCTAGTAGTATGGCCGGGAGCCCCTACTAGCGTCCTTGCTCCTAGCCAAATAGACATCGTCTTGATCTGAGGCTTTTCACCAAATTCTACGAACATCCGAGCGCACGCGGAGTCATTCGGTGCCCTTCGAGGTGTACTGAAAGGATCCCAAAATGCCACACACCTTGCCACTCATTACCCTCGTGTGGATGTGAATCACAAGCGGCTCGTGTGGATGTCCCACAGCGACGCAACCGCCAGCGCCGGTGGTTGAGGGTCCTGGCCCTTGAGGTGCATCTGACGGGGGGCCAGTTGGGCAAGTCAAGACCGACGATTGAACAAGGGAACAGGCATCAAGCCATCGCTACTAGTAACAAGGGCATTACTACAGGTAACAAGCAGCCTGTTGTCCAGAAACGTCTCCACCAACCCACAACAGGAGAACTCTCTGGTGGGGTTTATGGTGTCGGAGAACTTCAGAAGACCAAACAGTGCGCAACATCTGTACTCCTTCCTTTGGGCCGGTGCAGGGTTCTTGACACCAACTCCTTCGCATCCATCTGGAACCCCTGTTTTATCCCCAAAGTAGATCCGCGCTCATCCACGCTCCTGTGGTCATCCTTCGAACGGACCCTAACTCAATCACTCAGTGTTTGCTTAACTTGAGAAAGTACGTCCCCTATCTCAATCAATTACGATCGTCCCTAAGGCAGATTTGTTGCCACTTTTGTGCCATTGATGAAGACCTCCTTCACTATTCTCATACGGATCACTTCCTGCTGGATTTGGAGAACTGAAGATTTTAAAACCCCCACCCAAGACACCAAGGAGTGGGGAGTCATATATTGTAGCATTGTGTAGGACACCATGTTGTTCCTTCAAGAAATCAAACCATCTCACAAGTTGTTTTCGCGATCATACTATCTAGGCAAAGAAAGAAACTAAACAAACAAAAACATGACCCACAGCTGTGGAATGCGGCAGACCTGAACCTGGCAAAATTCCAATGACCTTGAAGACCGACCCTGTGATCAAAAACTGAACATATAACATATATACAGTAAGTTGGTAGTAGGAGTATTGAATGTGTTTTTCTCCCCGAAGCTTCATGTGTTCAATTTGTTTGGATCACTTTGACCCCATCCCGCAGCGTCCGAAGAACTCGTTCCCGCCAAGCGGCGTCATCTGTGGCCCCGGTGCCAACACGTGCGCCATGTTGCGGAAACGGATATGAAAGAGATAATAAAATAGATCCGTCTAAGAATTACTAGAGAAGCTACTAGGAACAAGTGCCACGCTTCTAGTAACAGGTGCCTTACTAGTAGTAACAAGAAGCTACTAGGAACAAGAATGTGAGGTGATACACCTCATGAGACGCGATGCGATATAGAAAATCATGATCCCGAAGTAGACACAACGTGCTGGCAGCTGGATCATGTCCAAAGCTGTATGTCTATATGTGTTCTTTGAGTGTTGCTGTCCAAAAGGCAATTGCTTCATCTGCTGGTCCCATTATATCCTCTTCTCAAGGATCAAACTCATATACTCTTGGCTCTCAAGCTGCAGGCATGTTGGAGTGGCAAGTTGAGATTCTGCCAAAGGCGGATGGCGGAGATTCTGCGCCAAACAAATGGTGCCTTCTGCCTGCACCAAATTTTGGGTGCCTCCGGAGGCCTGGAGGATATCTCCTATAACCTGCTTACCTTGGTCAGTTTTCCTCTACTCATCATGCAACCAGCTTCAACCGAGGAGCAAAAGGAGTCAAACAAGGCCAGGCTATACTCACCAGGTGCCTCTTTCAGCAATCAAATGCACAACTTCTTTATCAAGACCCTGTCACTACCAGGTTCATCTATTTTCGATCCTGGAGATGCTAGGTGGCAAAACTTGAGTATGAATATATATATATATACATACATGGAGCAGTAGTAGGGCCCCCTCTAAATGAATGATTTCCTGCGTGTCTTTTCTGGTTTCGATCAGAGAGGTTCCCGACCCAACCGATTGCCACGAGGTCATCGGTGGCAACTCACTTTTTGGTAGATGGGCCCTGACAGGGGTTGGGTATCCGTTGGAACCCGTTGGGACTGGAAACTTTTCCGAGATAGAGGCTCTTTGAGCCTTGCTTAGCCGCGCTGCACTTCTTTTCAACACCTGTGAACCAACTGCGGAAGCGGCCGCTGGGTGTCTTTGCACCGCTCGGGCGGCTCTGCCCGCATGGAACAAATCGAAAGCAACCTGGCCAGGCTGGCTTTTGAGGGCAGGTATGAAAACTAACCAGATTGTGCTGAGACAACGTGTTCTACCCCGCTGACAAACCTCAAACATGTCCCAACATCAAAATCCATAAGCCCCTTTTATCTTCTGCAGTTGATCTATGACTACATCATTTGCCTCCAAAACAATACACATGCATACTGTTTTTAAACAAACAGCCAAAAAACAATCAACAAGTAGATCCAACATGGTCCAACTCAGTATTTTTGGCTGGTCATAACTGGAGCAACTTTATTGAGGTACGCCGTTGGTCGTTGACCTGTCCGTTCCCAACGAGTTTGCACCTACTCCTTCGCTGCATCCAAACGCTTTCCACGCGCATCCTTCTCACCTCTTCGCCTGAGTGAAGACCATCACGGAGTGCGAAGCCAGAGTGTGTGCGTGTGTGTCAGCCATGCACTATGATATGATGTATTATTTCCAGTTGTGGCCTCTATGTCTGTGGCCAAAATGGACTATGTCCATTTATATATATATATATTTGTTTAATTAATTACGTTCTAAACATGTATCAAGAGCCGATGGTCGGCTCAATCAAGGAATCTATTTGTACTGAACACATGGACACTGACAAAACACACCGCCATGGACGTCTGTGCATTTGGCGCGACATCTGGGCTAGACATGCTTGCCTGTAAACTTCCCCAAGAAGCATCCTACAGCATCGACCCCACAGTACAGCTGCTAGCTTTCGAGTGTGGATGAAACCTGGCGGGCGAAGAATTCCCAGTGACGGCTACTGACCGGTCTACTGACGCCGGCTGAGGACGACGATCGCTCTCCAGCGTTCCGATGCGCAGCGATGCTGGTTTGACGGCGGGGGTTGGTCAGGGACTCTTGGTCGATGAAGTTTTGAATGGACAAAGTCGTAGACATGACATGCACTTGCTTTATAGTTTCGCTGTCAAGTAAACTTTGCACCAGGTTTTTCTCACTTTCTCGCTGTCGGTATGTTCCCCGCGCCTGTAGAGGAAATAGCCAGGCACCGCAAGGCCCAGCAAACCGATCAAACTGACCTGCAACTGTGTAGATCGGAGTGGACACGTTGCGTGGACGGTGCCAAAATCCGTTCAAAGCGACGAACATGCGTGAGTTGGAGGATCTGAAGATTTCCTCCACACTGTATAGACCCCCTGGAGTTCAGTGGCATGGTGACAAAACACCATCGCGGCCAAAAAGCACTCAGATTCTTCCAAGACATCACAGGGTGCACAGAATTTCTGGGGAGTCCGCTTCTTGATCACTTCAGTCCGTTCCGACGCTCTTCCTTTGGAGGAAACCAACCATCTGGTTGGTCGCTGTTCCGTTCCGCACTTCCCTCCAGCGGCGGCAGAGCAGGCCGACCCGCTCGGTCAAGCGAGGCATCACACACCATGCAGCTCATGCAAATCCTGGTGCCTTGAAGCTCGTGTGGAGGCCATTCCAGGCGCTCCTGGTGGCAGGGCGGACCAGAAATGAACTGGTGGGAACATGTAGGAACCCTTTGGGGGGTTGCACATTCCCCAGGCCTTGGACTATGACATTATAGGCTGCTTTTATTTATACTTATTATCTATATATTCTGCTTACTATTCCGGCCCATGACTTCCAAACTGTGGATTTGATTTTAGAAGCCATGAGATGATTCTGCCCCATGCTTTAAACCTGGAAACTGCCAACATGGCTTGAATAATAGATTCTTGTGCTCTGCCACATGGTGGTGTCACGGTGTCCAGAGCATGACGTAAACTGGAGACGCGGGGTTACTTCATTGGAGGTCACAAAGCGTCCGAATGAGATGAATGAGATTGGTTCAAACAACCCACTTAGGCTAGAATGGAACATGCCAAAGGGATTTGTTTTTTGACCAATGCGGCACCAGGTTCATCTATAATCCACTCATTGCATCTCATTGCTGAACCCCCCCCTAAACGCGACCCTGATCGGTACCCCCATGCACATCGAAAAATGGGAAGTCTGCTGCCTGTCCACATTCGGGCGCTGGCATTTCAGAAGCCACTTGCAACGGACGTTTTGGAGGTGATCAAGATAGACGGTGCCCTATGGTGCAAAGAAATCGATTGTTCAACTCCCAAGTGCTGGATTCGAAAACGAACTGCCAGCAGCTCCTCTTGGCAGACTCCTCCTTTTGCAGCAGCTCGACCTGGAATTGGAAGATCTGTACAAAGGTATGATTCGGTATGATGTCTGCTGGGTATGTCAAGCAGCTGCCCTAGTGAACACGAATGAAGGCAAGAATTCACAGGACATTTGACCCCTGGCCAAGCAAAGTTGGACTTGTCTCCGAGCTGAGAATTTTGGGCATGGTTTGGCTGAAACAATCGGGGCTTCTCCATTGTCTTCATAGTTATAGCTATTTTGGAGATGGTTTTGTTGCACTTTCTCATCTACCCTGTGGATTTGTTGACCCACACATACACATGAGATCTCTCGCAACCTCTACTAGTCTACTCTTACAAATTGAATCCAAAAGCAAAAGACCTCACAATATCTCAATGACCCATCTCCCAAAGGCATAGTCTAATGGCTTTCTATCAGTTTCTCCTAAGTGTTTGTTCTCTTTCAGTGATTGCTGGCCAGCTGGGTCTTGTTCCGTCGACATCATGGTACTCTGTGGATTCCGACATGTGACACACACATGAACCAAGTCATCCAAGTGATCCAAAAAACTGGCTCTGGTCTTCCCTCCCAAGTCTGGTCAATTTGTTTGAGACAGTTTAAGGTCATCCCAACAAAAATTTTGAAACTTACCAAAAAGAATCAAAAAATCTTAAATCCATCTTTACAATCTGTACCAATCCCCTCAAAGGCGCGTGGATCGCTCCGACAGTCTCGCCTTGTGAGCCTCTGCTCGCTGGTGTGAGAAGTGGCGGATGAGTGGAACATAGGCGTCCAGCACTCGGTGGCCACCTGGGGAACGGCATCGAAGGGCAGGTTTTTCGGATGAAATTTGGCCGAGTCTGCGGTCTGGAGAAGGTCTGCGGTCTGTCTGGCTCCCACCTGGAAGGATGCCGAACCGAACGCCTTGTTGGCACTTGGTTCCGGACCGGAAAGGGTTTCATGTTTCTTTGGGTCCCATCCAATGTCTGAAAGGGTGCCACGCTAGTAGTAACAATGTTTGCTATTAGATTTAGATTTAAGTTAAATTACTAGCTTCTTGTTACTACCAGTAAGGCACTTGTTACTACTAGCGAGGCACTTGTTCTAGGTCCCATCCAATTGTCTGAGGGCAAATTGTGGCTCTTCTGGCACTCTGGCACTCGGTTCAACGTTTTCCGCTCAGATCGGCCGTCGTGCCTGTTTTCTCCTTGTGGAAGAGTGTGAGCTTCCTTGGCGACATCCCGTCGTCGCATTCTCAGGAACCCCAGCATTGCACAAAGCAAAAGCGGAGCAAATGAGAAAACACAAGTGTGGGACCATTGATTATTCTGTGTATGTATGTGGGAAACAGTATACATACGTAGGACAAAACATGGCGCAACCGAAATTCATTGCCTTTTGACATCTTCTGTTAAGAATAACACATATCTGCACAACTCGCCAAAGATTTTCACTTGATCCTAGTGGAAAAACACTTTGCTTGGGATCTGATTCTCTACCATCAACTTCCTGGCGCAAGGGTGAATTATTGGGAACCTTTTGGTTGACAATCCACAATCAACCAAAGGATTATGTAAACCCAAATGATCTGCCAATGAACATCGATCAATCATTTGGCACGCGGCAAACAACGGCGGCAAAGAACGGGTGGTCTTCAAAGGATAGGAATTCATGTTGGTTGAAGCGACACAAAACGGGGTTAGCCAAACAGCTGGCCCTCTGAATTTCCTCTGATTGCTGTATACTGCATAGAGCAAAAACAATGAACATAAAAACAACATACGGCGGCATACCTTCCAATACGGGACACTCTTGCACACGGAATGTAGACGGTGCTCTCAGAAGTGGTCACGGCTCGTGATGCACAAAAGCGGTAAGTGGGGACGACACGTTGGTCATCTATGGCGGCTTTTCTCACGCAAAAACTGACCATTCACACACACACAAAAACGAACCGCTTCCCGACCTCATGCTAGCATTCTAATCTGGTCATGACGTGCTCCAAGTATGGACCATTACGGACCCACTTCTCTCACTGTCGGAGACTCCCTCGATGACCGGGTCGACGTTCACCCCGAGACGATCGGGGTCGATCAACCGAACCGGGTCGCGGTCGAGACGTTCACCCCAAAGACGCGACGAAAGTTTCGCTGTTCGGTGACTACAAAAGGAACAAATCCTACACCCGCCTGAACTTGACAAAAACTCAAGTTCTTGCCGGAGTTGCGTGTGGTGTCCGCATCTTTCAAACTCACAACATTTCCCAATGCTTGATTCTGCGCTAAAACATCCAACAAATGAGAGTTTAAACCTACAAGATCCAACAGCAACGAAATGATGCTTCTGTACAAACATGTGCGTTTGCAGTCCAAACTTGGTCTGGAACAGAAACAAAACTGGTTGTTCCTCTACCAGTTTCCAGCTGTTGAACATCGACAACGAAACATGTTCACCCGTCATAGCCACCAGACGCTCCAAAACTGCCAAGCTGCTGCTGCAGTTCTGGATGCGTTTCCGCCTTCCGGATCGGCACCTTGTTGTGGACAAAAACGCTTCTGAGGCGTAACCACAACCCACAAATCTTCTAAGGATGAGAAAACAACTTCCCTGACATGTGACTCTTCATCACTGAATCACAGTGTCATCAGAAACAGCAGGTAGGCTTGGCAGTGTGTCTCTTGTTTTGGAAAGCATTCACAAATAAACACACCCCGACACGCCGGCGAGGAGAAGAATGAGAGGTCATCTTATTCGGCAACAGCGGTGTGAGAAGAACATACTTTCAACCAGAGTGTGCAAATGATGTGCGCGTTGATTTTGCCAGAAACGGTCACTTGTGCCCCTTGCAACTGCGTTATTTCATGTGCTGCACATCACCAAGCACAACATCATAGACGATGGGTTACACCCAGGATTCCAAATTTTCTGGTCCGCCAAAGGCAAACGGAATCATCACAGAGGTGCGTTTTATGGTGCACATATTCTTGCATTCTATCTGGCATCTCTCCTGGCATCTCTTCTGCCGTTCTTTCTGGAACTCTATCTGGTTCAGGTCCAGTGGTGCCCACTGCACTCTGAAGGAAGGAAGGAAGGAAAGAAGGTTAACCAAAAATCAACATATCTCATCAGATCTCAAATCATCTCCACATCCTTCAACATGGCACCACAAAGAGTGCCCAGGCGCCACTGCATCATCCTCTGCCCAAAAGAGTGCCACAGCGCAAGTCTCAGGCCTCGGTGCTCGGGAGTGGCTGTGTCGTCAGACGGGTCGTCAGTGTCCACCAAAAGGAGACTTCAAACGACGTCTCTGACCACTCCAGAATCATGCGGTTGGAAAAAAAACAGCGAGAATCAAGGGCCAGCGCGAACCACGAGAAGTGGAGCTAAGGGTTGGTCAGTCAAGCATACGGCCAATCATCTAAGCCCATCCTCTCTATTTTTCTCAGCCCAGCGGCCATGGATTCAGCTCAGCTGGCGCCACTAAGACCATCTTCTGCACCTGGCGAGTTGGTGCCAGTCCGGCTCGAGCTCACGGCGCAAGTCCGGCGTGGCATAATTACGATCGTTCAGGTCAGGAAAAGAAAGAAACGGACAGCCGGACGGATATGCATTAAAGTATAGTCCTTTGGGTGATACCAATCCAAACCAGTTGAGCAGTTGAACAATGCAACATGTTGAACAATAGATGCCCTTTTCATCCCTTACCCTTTTCCAAGAAATTGGGTTACTGCTTGCCAAACCCATACCCCAACAAAGCTCAGAAGCCCCTGCGATCCCGACCCCATGCCAAGCGCCGGACCAAACATCCCAACAAAGGAAGCCCGTTACGAACCGTGACTTCCACCAGCCCCTTCTACCAGTGACTTCCACCGTCCAGTCGTTCGTCTCGGTGACGCTGCGCGTGACGCGCCTTCAAGGCCGTGTCTTGGGAGATCTTCGATGCCATGCCGCCTCTTGGGATCCGTCGATCGCGTGACGACGCATGTTTTTTCATCGGATGGACGGATCACGTGGGATCTGGTGTTTTCCATACCTGAAGCAACCTAAGATACAAAGGCATGCTCTATGAACCGAATTAATGTGCGGGAACTTGCCTGAGTCGACTAAATTAGTAAACAATTGCACTTCAAGTCCAAAAAATCTTCCCTGAAACATGTTGGGCGTATCCTCGTTACCGGCCCCTTTGTGAAAACGCTTTGATTTCTTGTCACGGAACCGATCAGATCCAATCCAATGATTTGCCTCCCAACAGTTCTAGTTATATTCATTAAAATTTCTATGCCGTCACTTACCCATCGACCCATTAGCCGCACAGCCCGCAGCCCCTCTCTGTTTCGTTCAACAACCGAACGGTGCCGTCCGCTGTGGTTTCTCCGACCGACCGCCGCTCGCTTCGCCCGAAGTGCGGGATTCGGCTCAGCGCCCGAAGTCCACTCCCAAAGAACTCTGACCACATCGGATGTCCAAGTTCTCTCGCGACATAGGGGAGCTGTGACACGCTGTGACACAGCCAATCAACTTGACTGTCACCACTGGTATGTCTGCGGTTCTCAAGCATCTTTTTGGTCCAGAAGCCAGTGAAGCCAGCCTACATATTCCATGTCGTCGCGCGTCGCAGTTGCCTCCCCAAGATTTCCCCAGCAGCATACTGATGCCATTGTTACTGCTCTGCCGCATCCTAAGTGGCTGCTACGTCCAGCGGAAGTGTCACCCAAATCCACAAACGTGGGTCACTGATCTACCCTCTAGCCGCTAGCCGACTCTAGCTGCTGGCAATCTTTGGCCTGGAATCTGGAAGATAGTCTGCCGGGGCATTCTCCATGTCCATGTTTGTTGAAAAGAGAACAAATCAGCACGTACCAGGGCCGCTGAAAGGGTGTCCATTCAAAGCCGCTTGGTTACCGGTTGTTCATTAAACACCCCTTGTGGGGTTCCGGTAGTCGACTATGCACTTCCGGAAACTGGAACATGCGAGCAGCAAATATCCAACAAGAAGCATCAGGCAAGCATGTCACTGTCTCATATGGCTGGTCTTTGCAACAAATCTGCTGCAGGACCTACAGCGGGATCCATGCATGCTTCTACCATGGGTGTGGGTTATGGTCCACACATGATGGAAACATCTGGTGGGCCAGCCAAGGCTCAAGTCTTTCACCACGATACTCACAGAGTCGCTGGAGATCGTCCCGGGCCTCGGGTTGGTAGCTGAAGTAAAGAATGGAAAAGCATCGTCGGCGTCAGTTGATCCATGATGGGTTGGGTAGCTGTTTAGATTGCTTGATCCATGTGGAGTGGCTAAGAACGGGTCCTTTGCCATCTGGCACTTTGCATGAATATTCTGGGCCACACACACACACACACGCACGAGAAGGCTGAGTATTGATAACAATACTATCATTATCAACATAGCTCATGAAACCGAAGAAGACTCAATGTAGCAAAGAGCAACAAATACATGAACGAAACTCGCCAAAAGACATGCAAAAACGAACATCACGGTCAGCAAAACGCTCCATCCCATCTCAGGGTGGAGCAGCCTAAGCTTGTTATTTCTCCAACTCCCTCCCATTGGAGAATAACGTCCTGCCCTACAGCCGAACGCCACACTAACGCATGACTTCCTGTAATATCTGTAATCCACTTCTGAGTGGAAGCCTCACTCGCCTCCATTTGCTTGTAGGCTTGGACCACAAGAATTACGTGCAAACTACAACTAATTCTTTACAATCAACCAACAAATCCCAGTACAAGGGAACTCGTTTCGCCTGGGCATCTGACGTGAGACCGTTCAACATCGAATGGAAGTTGGGAAGCAAGACATGATAGCCCTCCTGGCCGCTCGATGGCGATGGCGACCTAACATGTCCAAGCAATGTATTTTGATGAACATTCTCCCGTAAGGCAGCAACACGATGCACCTCATGGAATCCTGGATCAGATTGAAGAATATACTGACAGATTAATATAGTTACCGGCCGGTACCGTTTATCAAGAGCACTCCAGAAAACAGCCCCATCCTGCACACTTAAGACCCCTCAAAGCAAACCCACGGCAACTTGAAACCTTGCGAAAAAGTCAGCACATGAGTGCCGTCGGTAGGTGGGTCGGCTCCCATCGGTGACGCAGGTGTCATGCAAATGTCCTATTCCTATTCCACGTCCAGCATATAAAACTAATTACTTGAGTAGTTGAGCACAACTTTGGAACAGGTCGCTCAAGCCCAACGCAGCTTTTCTACGACTGCAGCAAAGTAAACATCCTCGGAGGCTGAAACTGAAACATCCTCCGCAAAAAAAAGGCTGCACCCACTCACTACGCTCACTACTCTGATGGATGGATCCCATTGTTCGGGGTTCAGTCCTCTGCCAAAGCTTTGGCCGTGTGGTCCCATTCATGAAGCATGCTCTTGGCCATGCCTGAGCAATGCCCCAACAATCCATGAATATGGACTATTTACCTAACCATTGACCCTCAAATCATCTTAAAACCTGCTTAATGTAGGCAAAAATTCCAGTCACATGGAATGTCTGGGTTATGGATGCAGTAAAATCAGTAAAGCCATCGAACACGAAGAGGCTGACTGGATCCCCGTTGGCCAGTCCGTTTCTGCTCAGTGCACCGTCCGACTTGGTGGAAGAAGGTCAAGCTAGGCCAGGAGCCCCTAGTAGCCAGGAGCCCCTAATCACTAAGTACGGCCACGAGCCCCTAGGAGCGTCCTTGCTCCTAGTAGCGATGCCAGGAGCCCTAGTAGCCAGGAGCCCCTAGTAGCGTCCTTGCCATTGCTCCTAGTCGCGATGCCAGGAGCCCCTAGTAGCGTTCAAATCCCAAGCATCAAAAAGCGGGCCCTCAAAGCCTGATGGATTCTGAACTGATCTGATGGATTCTGGTCATGGCTGGCTAGAGTTCTTTTTCGTGCGGTGGGAATGGTGGACGGATCTCGTCCAACATGCCCTTTTTATCGCCACCTGCGTCCGAACAAACAGAAACGCCCACCATGGCCCCAGCCGTGGATGGCCACGGCCAATGGCCCCTGCTTGGGACCAAATTCAAAGACCTGGCGGATTGCTACGGATTGCGGCTCCGGATGGCTCTATATCACGTCTTGGATGGTTTGATTCATTTCCAGTAGACAAGCAAATCTAAATGGGGCCACTACTACGGGAGTATCACTAGGTGAAGTACGGCAAAAATACAAACACTTCCAAGACCCTCGAAAGTGAGTTCTGCCAACATTCATCGTCAACGGTCGTCTGAAAATGGGTCAAACTGGATGGTGCAAATGTGCCCAAATCACTTGCAAAGGACAGACAGCCAATGGGTACTGATCCACGAAATTCGTCGAAAAGGCATCATCGTCTATTTGTGGATGACATGTGGATCGAAGATGATCGAAGTATCATGATCGTATCATATCCTGGTGGATGTCCAGTGTCCGCTTCTCTAGTAACCTGCATGCTTGGCACATGGTTTCTTTGCCCCACAGATTGGCACCTGGATGGGTGCCGATCAGCTTCTCTTAGCAATCCAGTGGATCCCCACCTCCCATCACCTCCCCACATCGCATGGGAGATCCTTTTCGGTGCCTGTTTACGGCAGCAGAAAGTTCTATTGAGGTGAGGCCGTTTTGGTGGTTGATTCAATGAAAGAAAGCACATGAAAGCACCATGCAATTCTGCAACCAGTAGTCTGTTCAAATCAAATCTGCGTTGTTGACTATGTTGATGACGTCTGATCGGGCTTCTTGCCCCCAGATTGATTGCCACTTCCCTTGTCGACCAAACCTTATTTGCAAAGCTTGCTGCCGAACACCTCACATGCACTACCACAAGTTGGTGCGAGACACTTAAAAAGTTCAACTAACTACAGCTGTCCCTAGTTGACCCTCAGAATCACGTGCTGGGCATTGCTGGGCAATGGAGTTTTAAACGTTCAACTCCAGAAATTGCGTGAAATCAGGAGATCTGTCCTCGGGTAGACTGAAGTAAACCCTCTCCTGACATCTCCTGACGACTCTCTTTCATACTTCTTCTCACTGATCAGCCAGCTGGTCGAGGCCGAAAGCCAGGACGGTGCACCGGCACGTGAGGGTTGATGAAAGCAGCAGCCCTGGCACGCTGTTCCAAAAGCTCCATATACTCCTTACGAAGGATCAACGGTTGGTTGCCAGGTGCCAACGACCAAGTCAAGGGATCAACATGCAACTACGAGCGTTCGAGAGTGAAGTAAATCCGTGGAGAAGGTTTGAGTTTCCACACCAACCTGATAGAGAACAGGAAGTTTGGGGAACAAAAATAAGACCCACAAGGCTGAACCGGAAAGCGACTGACTGAAGCTGTCTGCAACCCTGGAAACCTGAAACTTCTCAGTATCATATAAAACACTATGCCTTGAATGCCTTGCTTGAAACTTATTTACAACCATTGAGACGGCATCTGTTCTGAATTCCAGTGTCTTTTCGCATTTAGGCCGTTTCAAGATCCACATATCAAACAACAGCACGTATTTTCCGGAAACGTACGGTCTGAAATGTAATGTGTTTTCAAGCCACCTTCGATGGACACAAGCTTTTGTTGATGACTACTTCACCAAAGATGAACCAGCAATACCACGTTGTCAACGATGTAACATTTTGTAACCACATAACATCTTGTATCATCATCTTGTCATTTGCGGCTTGCTGTATCAAACTGTTGTTCTATAGCCCAGGTCAATTACATGGAATGTGTCCATACAAGTCGAGCCTCGAAACCTCCACCTCGAACCTCCAACGAAGCCCTCCCCTCACCTGCATGAATAGGATTGGCACAGAAAGAACTACCATGATAGGTATTACAGTTTTCATCTTTAAATAAACAAATTTGGACATATTGGGGCCCATTAGCATCATCAGCACCAGATCAAGCATTAGGACATTATATACTGTATACAGTATACATACAAATCATATAACAATACATGTACCATCATTTCATCAGTACTTACATGGGCGTAGTGCTTACTATGTAGTTACAAGGATTACTAAGTAGTTAGCAGACTTAATGTTGTACTTGTGCTACTTATCTATCTTCAGTTGCTGGACTTAGTATGTATACTTACTGTCCTACTTATTAAGTATCACAGTTGTTGTTACTATAATCTTACACACGCTGCAGGGCTATATGCTCGCAGCGGGATTGACGGTTTCATTGCGTCTTTCACATGCAATGTAATGCTTTCATGCAATGCAATGTCATGTCATACCATGCAGTGTCATGTCATGCAACGCAGTGTCATGCCATGCCATGCCAAGTCATTATATACAGTGTTTGTGCAGAGCTACCTTGAAGTGTCTTGCAGTCTTGGGAGATTCTTGCGCAGCGGAGTGACATGTACCCATGAGTTTCTTCCGAATGAGTTGTGTTTCATGTTCATTTTGTTCACTCGTTGCTTGTGTTGCATGATCATGCATGTGCACATTTCATGTCAACTTCATGCTGCTATATAGCTGGCTCTGAGTGATCACGCGTTTCCTCACCGAGATCTCATCCTGACAGATGGAGAAGATGGAGGGCGTGCGCAGCTTGCCAGATGGAGTGACATCCACCATCAACGTGCTGATTGACAGGGCTCTTTCTGGAACTTCCATGGTCAAGTCAGCAGAAGGCATCTTGACCTTGTTGAGGAAGGAGCAAGTGTTGCTCCAGCTTCGCCTGACGCCAAAGATGGTTGGGGTGCATCCGCGCAATCGAGATGGAGTTGGGGTAGCGGTGCGCGAGGTACATTCCTTGCTGGCAGACATTCTCGACACAGGGTTTGTCCCGAGCTTGGTCAGTGCTTTGGCCTTTGAGGTGACAGGCCCCGAAGAGTTGGAGTTCAACCGAAAGCTGATCGAGTCTGCGGGTGGCCAGCTAGGAGTTGCCGATGTGGCACAGATGAGGTATTTGTCTGTGTGCGGCTCACACACCAACTTCGTCCTCCGGCTCTTTGTGGACTCAGTTGAACACAGCCAGAACCAGCAGGTCACTGTCAACGGCAGGCTGAGCCAAGACGCTCTTCGTCTTGCCGACACGGCTTTCTTCCAGGCTGTGCAGGAGGGGGTGGTCTGGGAGATCATTCCCTCGTGGATCGCATTGCAGTTTCCACGATTACCAGAGATCTTGCAACAGGTTGGAAATACTTCCCTCAACCGCGGGGAGAGCGAGATGCAAATGTTGCAGCGGCTGCACTCCATGTGCGTTGAGCGCACATCAAAAGGGGAAAGGGTGAATCTCGAAGATGTGAAGCGGCGGGCGTTGGCAAGCAAGCCAGCTTTTGCTGAAAGCTTGTCAGACATGTGGACCTTTGTCATGAGGTACTCAGGAGGCGCCAAGGCAAACATGATGCAAGAAACCCAGCAGTTCGTGATGACAAACACCAAGTCAACTCAGCTGGGTGCTCCTTTGTGGAAGGCACTGGTTGAGGAGTCCAAGATTGCCACCAACTCCCTTGTGAGATGGCGACACGCCATTTTGAAGCAGGGCTACTTCCACGGGGTGAAAGCGTTGGATGTGAAGAGGTCATTCAGCAAGGACATGGTGCGGAGGGTGGCAGAAGCCAATGACCTCATGTTGGAGGTCAGGTTGCTCCTCAAGCAGTTTGTTGGTCGAGGACAGTTTGTTGGTCGAGGCAGGTTGCTCCTCTCGCAAGGACTGTTGCGTCTTGTTGGTCCAGGGCCGGCTTGTGGTGGGAGAAGCTTGGAACTTTTTTCAGGTCGAAGACAGGTGCATCTCTGTGGTCAGCCTCTGGGAGCACGTCCATGGATTCATGTACAAAGTGGCAGAGAATCCGGTCGTGGTGGAGGTGCAGTGTCTTCGAGAATCGGTTCCTTACTCCCGAGTGGAGAGCGATGCCATCGTGCTAGTGCCTGAACGAGCCCTGCGAGTGTAAAATATGAAGAGTGCTTGCAGTCATGTGTGACAATGTTTTCACGTGATGCATGTCGATGCAGACCTGTTTGAGGCCTTGTTCTAAAACATGTAAGCATTTTTTTGTATTCATGTTTTGCACTTGTAAGTGTGACATGTTCCACTTATATGTTTGACATGTTCCACTTAGTATACTTACGATGTTGAACTTGTAAATGACACCTGCACACTTATAAGTGTCATAACTAGATGCTGAAGATAACAACTGGATACATGTGACGCACTCCACTTACTAAGTCTGACAACACACATACAAAACATATAAGACTTATATCCTAATATAGCTAGGTTGTAACTGTACATAGCATGCTTGTATGTACACATATACGTGCAATAACCACACTATCTAGATACTAACCACACGCTGATGTAAGTATCGATGCTACAAATGGGACTAAACCATTGCCAACTCCGCGCACCGACCCCACAGGCGCCGCCATCGAGTTGGGACCCCATGATAAACGCCGAAATGAAAGGTCTCAAGACTGGCTCAAGACCTTTCAATCCTTGTTGATGTGGTAGTTGAGCTGGGTTGACCGCAATAACTCGTTCAAGGCTCTTTGACTTCCAGATCTTCTTCGAGAGCTGGCTGCAGGACCGGACAACTGTGTGAGCGAAGAAAGGGAGGCTCCCTCTTCACATCAATGAAAGTCGCCTGATGACACAACTTGGCTTCCATCCTGCAGAAGTGAATAAACACTGTAAACACTATTCTCTTGAACCATCAAACACCTGCGCCACGCGAGCACAACATGCATGCAGCAGCGTCTAGTCTTCGTGTAAACAGTTGTTAATTATTTTATCTCGAATGGATTTACAAATGGTGGCCGCCGCCGGCAGGGGTATCCGTATCGCTGCCTCTTGATGACAGGCAACGGCCACATCCACTCTGTATCCGTGTCACAGTGAGCACCAACGATTTCCAAAGGAACTGGAGCTATTCCATTCGGAACTTGTGAATTCACTTGTGCCGATGAGGTGGCCGCCTCAATTGGTCCCAACTCGGTCTTCCAGCCAGGGGCCATCCTGGGCGTGGGCGAGAACTTCCGTGGAAAAGTGGAACACTCAAGCAGAATGCTTACCCCCCTGCAGACAGAGCACATGGACCCTGAGAAGAGCACCTCGCCGTGGTTTCAACCAATGTTCCTGTACAAGTCTGGGGGGTCCATGTGGTCCTCTGCATGGGGAGATGAGCAAAGTTGCACTTGTTTTGTGCGTTGCAGTTGAGTGAAGTCTGAGACAGAGCGAGACTTCTTGTAAGCTAGTGACTCGAGACTCCCATTGAGGGATTCGGTAAAATCCATCGCATAGAGCCGTTTTGTCACAATGTCAAGCTGTCAACAATCCCCTTCTCCATATTCTCTTCATCGAGACCACATAGCTTCTGATGTGGCATAGGGTTGAAGAACAATTACTGTGCCAGCTCATCTAAACAACAACAACAACAGCAGCAGCAGCAACAACAACAACAACAGCCACCACAACCACAACCACAACAACAACAACAACAACACCATTAGCAAAGTGAGGACCCGGTCTCTTGCTCACACCGTCATCCAAGTCCCAGCTGGAAGAGGAGACATCCACGGGAGTGTAGCATCTCTTCATTTGAAAAGGTGAGATGGCATGAGATGGCTATATATCCCACTATTACACAAACATGTTGGAAAGAAGCATAAACAAAGCGTTCCCTCCACGCTGCTTCGGCCATGCAGCTGTGCAAGCTTTAACTCCTTTCCTTCGCAGAAGTCAAAGATCTCTTCAGCCTGGGTCCCACCGGAACGACAAGGCGATCATTGAAAGTCCCTGTGGCAATGCATGCACAAAAGCCTCTGTCCATTATACAACAGCCCATGTTGCAAACAACATGCTCAACTTAACGCGCGGCTTCAACGCCCCCGGTGTGCCAACGTGAATCCACAGACCGCAAATCAAGTAGTTAGGTGTCGAACCCCCAGCCACCTCAATGGACGCATTGCTCTTCGGTGACGGCTCCCGAAGAGAACGAGTTGGCATTTCGCCTTCCACGGGGTGGCTACAACGACCTTCCGGGTGATATGGGGCGATAAATTCCACGTCCAAAGAACTCAATTATATATAAGCCAGGTGACGAACTGAGCTGTGAACTCATGCTTGGCCCAAGCCACGTTCATCCTTGTTCAGAGCAGTTTGGAGCAGAAACGAAAACCGATACACCGACGGAATCCACGTCAGGTGTTCGCTTGAGAGGACAGAACAACACACCAACTATTGAGGCAAACATCACTTGCACATGGTTATTATTCTATGTTAATCATTATGCAGTACCCAATATATAGCTTGGATGCATCAGTCGGTTTTTGATCGGCAAAAGGTCCAAAACATTCCAAAACACATTTGCACAAGAAACATCTGTTTATGTGGCCCAAAGCAATTCCCAATCAGTTCCAAGCCCCCAATCGAACAACAGGGAAGCTGCTAACAAAGAGATGCATCCTGCCCCCAACTATTACCAGAATTCTATGTACTTGTCCATCTTCAGGGCATTCAAAATATCATAAACTCCCGAACTACCCCTTCGGGACACAAGTGATCCTGCGGCATGCAGAAGTGAATTCCACACTGTCTTTCTTTGGACCTCACCGGGAACCTGCCGGAGAAGAGGAAAAAACAAAGGGAAAAAGGGTACGGTCGGTAAATCGGGGGCAACCGGTGTCTCATCATCTCGTCCCAGGAGCACTTCGGCCAAACAGCTCTCATCCGCCACCAGCGAATCCGGAGCATCGAAGCCCAGCACGGACTCCGCAGTGGCGATCCAGCGGCGGTGCCTGGGCGCTGGGTGAGTCCCTGAAGCTTTGCTGAGCTTTTGAGGATGGCATAGAGGAAGCTAGGGCATGGCTCCAAAAAGTGCAAGGGAAGCATCGCATGGTAGGGCAGGTCTGCGCATGGGGCTAACTGGGTGTGGATTAAATTTAAGTGCCTCGTAATTCCATGATTGTTTCCTTTTGGTGGCCCTGTAGATAAGTTTGTAAAAAGATGCTTCTCCCCAAGCCGTTCTTCAAAAAGATGGTCACCGGTTGATGTCTCTTCATGTGAGGCAGCTAGCGATGTTTGGTCGATCCAACAATGCCAATGCCCTTTTTCGGCATCCCCAAACACGTCGTGCCGATTGAACACCCACCATGGGCTGTCCATACCCATGGGCTGTCTGCAGTTCTCCTTGGAATCCACCAACAAAAAGGAATCTATGGCCCAAAAACTGACATGACCTGCCTTGAAAAACCGACAACTGCCTCAGTCAGGACCTATTCAACCACTTGGAGCACCGCCCGCGCCCGCGGCGCCTGGGATCTTCCCGGAGGAAGCCCTGCGAATCCACCAGGTGCTGCTCCTGGCCGGTCCGGTCCAAGCTCGGTCAGGGGTGGGGGTGGAAAGGACAAAAGCTCGGTGGTGGATGCCGCGCCTGGAAGGCTTTGGACAACCGTTGGGCCTGGTCCTCTTTCAAACATTTCGTGAGGAACTGCGCGGAGACCTTCTGTGGCTCGGCACCTCGCACGTGGTGCGCCAGGAAAAAACAGGGGCCCAAACAAAATCGTAGCACACCTTTAAACTTTAAACCACTCTGTGGGCCCGGGAGACTCGTGGTACCACTCGTGGTCTATCATGCCGTGTTTTGCTGGCTGGAATGAAATCCTGACGGCCAACGGGTTGAAGTGTCTATTCCCAAACCATCCATCATCTGGAGAGTCCCATTTCTGATCTGCTTCATGCAGGACATTCATTCTTCAACATGTTCAACTCTGTTTGTCCCGCCTCGTCCGGAAACGCTCGCGTCGTGCGTCTCTCGTCCGCGACGTCTCCGAGGCACGGAGCTCGCCGGTGCGCACCTTCCGCACGGTGAGGTCCTGGCCGAACGGCCGCAGCCGGCGCTCCCGAGCGTAAACTCACGGCGGACGGTGCCGCGAGCGCGAGAGCCTTCGCGAGGCGCCGGTGGCGAGGGAATGGAAGAAAGCGACAAGCCTCTCTTGGAGGCAAATTTTCCCAAGTAGCTGTGCAGAAGTACGTTTCTTTTTGAAGGATAAAGACCAGGAATCACACGAATTGGATGTATGATCATCGGTGAAGCCCTTGCAGAACAGGCTCCAGCACGAAGTCCGTCCCCCTTGGAGTGGGCAAGTCAGACCTTCAAAATAGAGGAACACTCGTAGAACTTAGCTGGGGACCCAAAAGAGAGCTTGAGGAAGACCAATGTGGACATTACACAATATAATTACAATAACCCCATGTAACCCCCTGTACATATTTGTCGAACATCTCCATGCTGCTTGGGGGAGAACTGAGCAATCAACATTCAAATCAATGAAGCTCAGCACATCGCCATCAACCTTCGATTGGAGTCGAACCCTCAAACAATCGGTGATCGGCCAACGATCGGGTTCGACCATCCGGTGGTCACGAACCGATCGAAGCGATGGTTCAATGGAAGGAAAACAAATACCTCGGGGGCAAAAAGACCGGCATTTACGAGCTCAGTGCCCTTCCAGTTGCCCTTCCAGTGATGGCCATTTTGAGGAGATTGCTGGAAGGGGGTTGCTGGAACTATCCTCCTTGACAAGAGCGGAGCACGGAGCAACACCAGTCTTGATCAGTATACAGCTCTGTGAACTATTGTGGCACCTACAATTGGCAAAGAACATGCTTGTCTTCCAAACAAACCCTGCAAAGTTTGTTGAAAAAGAACCATTCGGCCATGGGAGCAAAGAAAAGATGTAAACATCTCCTCAATGTTCTCCTTCACCGCATGTGCAGTATGAGAATCCCTGCACCGTGCCGCTGGCCACTCGGGCATCGAAACGAATAACATCGGCGTGGTGTCGAGCATTTTTTCTACAAGGACGCTACGAACGGGGCTCCTGTCATCGCTACTATAGGAGCAAGGACGCTGCTAGGGGCTCCTGGCCATACTACTAGGAACAAGAAGCTATACTACAATAATGGTATTTCTAAGGTCATCTTAGTGACCGACCTCACCACTGGGCTGCTTGTGAGAGTCTTTGTTCTGTTCTCGGGTGACGGGATCAACCTAAAGCATCCCTCAAAACTCACACAAAAGAGACACACACCCTTGTTTGGCCGGTCGGATACGGATTTCGGGATACATCCTTGAGAACGTTGGCTATGTTTGGCACCATCCTGATGGCCAAAGACTGCAGGTGTTGGTGCATCGCCCGATCTGGTGCATTTCTGGGCCCGAAAAAGATGTTTTTCCTCCCCACCCAAAACGACCTTTTTTCCCTAATGACTAGCGACACTGAGGCACAACTTAGTTGGTCCCCAATGACTATATAGTGACTAGTGACTAGGCGACAAACATCCAAGACTCCTTTGCCCAGAATGTTGAAACACATGGAACAGTGACGGAACACTGTCATTGTGTGAGTTTGGAGCAAACAAACAACCTTTGTCCACCTTGATGACCTGTGGATTGGAGTCTTTGTTGTATGGAGCAGCGGCTTGAGAACCCCCTTTGACAAGTTCACTGGTACACTCCATCAAACAGCAATTCGCAGCTGTCAGAAACTAAAAACTTTCTGAAGAGACCACAGGACAGAACTGCTGGAACTGCAACCATGTGTGCACCCTTCAGTTCGCTTGGGGTCACTGGCTCCAGTGAAGCTCGGGCGGTTCTACCATCCTGTGTTCCCGGTTTTAGCCTCGGCATATGGATGAAGAGCGTGGGAACATGTTCATTGACGTCTGTGTTCACCTAAGCGCGACAACCGTGCGGTCTTCACAAATGTCCTCGCAAAGTCAAGCACACTGTCGGGTGTACACTCATCTGAGCCAAAACACTCTTCTCTCAACGTCCCATATTTGTTCATGGCAAGAACTGCGACCAAAGCGACACCGGTGAGTGCATGTACGCAGAACAGGCACTAAGCAAAGAAACAGGACCTACACTCTAATCATTTTTAGAAGTACATAGTTGCATAATCATGTCGTAACCGCCTCTGAACGACTGTTCTATCTTGGCAGGTTAGAGGTCACCCACGTATCTTGCATCAACGAGGTTTGATGAGAAGCAATGCCTGATACTCAAGAAGTAAAGACAAATACCCTTTGAAACCAAAAAAGACACACCAACAACTACATCAAAGAACCCTCCAAACACATGCTTTGATTGGGTCTATCCTATTTTCTGTAAAAGTGGATGATGATGGTTCAGTTGCAGGCCTTGTTCCAAAATAGTGATATCCTTGAAACCGGGTCCTGTTACAGGACAGTTCGGACAAACACGCTTTGACATGTCCAATACTTGTCAGTGAGGAGCTCCCATGATCTCCGGCACGATGCATGCCCTTGGCTGCGAATCGCTACGGCAGTTGGTCGGACCGCTGCGAAAGCAAGGTCCGTCCGTGGAAAAAGCAGGTCGTCCCGGGATTGGGAGTTGAAACCGCCCCTGGAATTTGGCTTCACCCTTCTGTGTCTTGTGTTCTAGAAGCTTCACCCTTCTGATTATTTCACAGGTCACTTCAGGTTCTTTCACAGAATCTTCGAGGGTCGTTGAAAAAAACAGGATGCTGTCAAAAACCGTCTGCAGGGTCTATGTGGCCTTTGTCAAATATTATCAACCCTAGTTCTTTTACACCTTGGTCACTATGCAGAAAAACACCCCAGTCAACTGGATTCTGTGAAATGAGAAGAAGACACACACACTCACACACACACACCTCCTGTGGCTAGCCATGGCTGGATGGAATCGTCTCCCTTTTACAAGAATTCACCATGCAGTCACGTCACCCTGCTTTTCTTGCATGTCAAACCATTGAATTTCCCCTCCCAAAATCTGAACCTCATGGGAGGAATCCCACAATCCCAGAACTGTGGAAGCTTCTTTTGACTGCAGCCCGGATGCAGTTTGCCGATCCCACTGGAAGCATCCAGACTGGGTAGCAGCCCCACGAAGGCCTCGCCAGGTGGCTGGAGACGAGCCTTTAGAGCACAGAAGGATGCAGTATCTGCAAGGACGCTACTGCTAGCTCCTGGCCTCACTACTAGCAGAAGAAGCTACTAGTAGCAAGGACACTATGCTCGGTGGAGGCCATCGCATGTAGGTTGGAGGTCATCTCTACAATTGTCCATTTTAAACATATGCATTGGGTATATCCCAAGCTCCCAGGGCCCAGTGGCTGGTTGCAGGCCGACTGCAGGTAGGACAAACCCAACATATATACATCTGATCTGTCTGATATCTGCGCTACTTTTCAGCACCCAAAAGGCAGCTTCCGTTGCACCGGCGGTAGACACACCGAGGGACTGAGACACTTATGCGACAGTCGCACCTTCATTCATTCGTTTTTCACCCCAAGCGACTGGCTCGGTCACTGGACATGCAGCAGAAGAGTAAAGAGTATTTTAACTCATTCCTTAAAGAGCCTCAGGACATAGTGTTGACAAGTGACAAGTCGTCCTCAGTCATGTGCACCATTGACCAAATGACTCCAAATGACTGAAAAATAGACCGGTTGTCAGTTCTCCCAAAGAGTCGGGACAGCTCCTTCTCCAGAGAGTCGGGTCCCACGACCCCCACGGCCGGATGCGAAACAAGTGACGCCCCCAGAGGATGCGCCCATCGCCAGCAAAGGCATCTCCGACAGCTTCCTCAATGCAGCTTCCGGGATGAGAAGGATGTGTTCCAACCCGTGGGACAACCCTGTATACCGGAGGCTATTGAACATTCGGACAAATGATGAATAATATAATATTATATATATATATATATTGAATGATAATAATTGATTTTTAAAATGACAGCCATGCATTCCATCATGATTGTGCTCCAAATCTTAAAACAGTCTATCTGTTTAGCAGCTTCGACGGACGGGGTTCTGTGTCAGTATCGTCTAGGAAGCCGCATCCGATTACACGAGGAGAAACTGTGTCGGCTTTGGTTCCTGCAAGGGGACTGCAACTCATCAGCTTCATTGAAGTCAACAAGTCCAAATCGAAGGACCCTAGGACCTGATGGCAGTACCTCCTGACCAAGCCAAGCTTGGCATGCGGACACATGGTGGACGACTTTCTTCTGCAACAATGTTTGTCCTGATCTTTCTGGAAAGCACAAGGAAATCACTTAATTCACTTTATCTTAACATTCTCTAGTAGATTCTAGTAGCAAGGACGCTATTAGGTGGAGGCCATCGCAAGTAGGTTGGAGGCCATCGCTACTAGTAACAAGAAGCTACTATTAGTAACAAAGGGTATCGCTACTAGGAGCACGAAGCTAGTAGTACTGTAGCTCCTGGCCTTACTATATACTAGTAACAAGAAGCTATTAGGAAATCACCAATCCCCCAGGTGCAAAGAAGTGCCTGGGCTCACAGCCCCTTAAGGTTCACAGTACATCACCGCACAAGCACCACATGAAACAGGGAGTGACTGTCATCACGTGAATCTATATGAATCCAATCTATTTGTATCCCCGGTGGATGGAGTTTAGCAACAAATACCTCCTACAGTACATGTTCTATAAAAGCACTCCTTGCTCCTGTCGGATGGTTACCGAGTTGCTCCTCCTTCCGCACGTGCGCCACAGCCGCCGCTACCTGGATGGTCTTCTGCGCCCGTGACGGTCAAGCAATTGTTGAAGAACATAGGTGGATTGCGGTTGATGGTGGCCATACATATATACAGTAATATTCTATTATATATACACAGGGCAAGTTCAATAAAACAGTTGTTCTTCGGGTATCTCTGAAGTGAACTCTTGTGTGTTTATGAGTCCAACGTTGATACACAACTGATCGTCCATCAACGTGGCTCAGCCAAGCTATCAAACTTCCAAAATACAAGTGGCCCGATCACTTGGGCATGAATCAAGCAACATTGTGTTCATTCATGGTCGTTGACATCCAGCATCTGTTGATCATGACAAAGCAATAGTCAAGCAGCAAAAAACATCCTGGAATAGTCTAGTCCTAAGAGCCAACCTGAGATTGAACCATTTTGGATCTAGGATGCGAGGTAGTGGCAGTGCTCTTTCTCTACGAACATCATCCGTCGGAGGTGCAAACCATCCCCAGAGAATGCATCCCAAGTAGATACATTCCTTTTAACATGCTGTTACAAGTACTTGCACTCCAATCTCCCCACCCATATCACCCTTCACTTCTTGCAGTTTCCCATCTATTCTGAAATCACTTTCATGTGCCCAGGGACACGCTCCAGGTCTCCTACTGACCTGGTGGAGAGGTTTCAGAGGGGCACTGTTCAATTCCAATTTGCTGGAGCAGGAGGAAGTCTGGTGATTTCTGCGTGAGAGCGTGGGTTGAAAGAGTCCTCCTGCTCACTTAATCAGGTGAATGCCTTGCTCTGTCATGTTACGCAGCCCGGTAATGTCTTTTTTGTTCTTTTGGTACGAAATTTTCGCCATCATACTCTATATGGCTTATCTTGGTGTGAATATATTCATTTGATTTTGCGTCACCATCAGGGGCCCGGCCAATCGGTACTTGCCTCTCAGCCAGTTCAACAGTGAACTGTCTGTCTGTCCTGTTTGGGTCATTGGGCGGAGGCGAGGTGATACACCCGAGGTGTTTTGCATTTCGACAATCCAATAGTGGAAAGTCCAAGAATCTGGCGTAGCCCTCTCAAGTGGCATGTGTTCACAGATTTGTGGGTCCTCCATTTCGGTGACAAAGCTTGAAACCCTAGAATCCAGGAAAACACCAAGAAATGAAAGCTCTGTAAACCAAAGTAAATCTTGGTGTGTCCCCTGTTAGAGGCTAGGATTTTAGACTTCCGAGCAAATTTCACTGTCAAACGTATGGCGAGCTTGCACACATCGAAGTACCTTCAAACGTCTTGGGTTGCAAAGGATAGCTATGGTTAGTTGCCGCGTCCTTCGTAGCTTTCCTGGAAACAACATGAAACAAGCAACTGTCAGGTATCAAAATCTCTCACAAAGGCTCCTGGACATTTAGGCCTGATAGGATCGAAAAAAGAAGTACTATCTCTCTGTAAGTATTGATTTTTCAACCAAAGCATGCTTGACCCCACATTACAACCCATCTTTTATCCATGTTTTCAACCGATGGCCAGTTGTGGTTGCAAAAAAAATGCATATAAACGACTCCCTGAAAGGATTGACACATAGACCAGCCTACCCATTAGTTGGTGGATGTAGGTGATCTCCCCACTACTCCCGACAATGGCGCCTCAGAAGTCTATTTGGGCTTCCAACCTAGTAGCGATGGTTCCTGTTTCCATCCGAGGCACCAGCAGCTCTGTCTCCCATCACCGCCTGACACGGCCATCACCACCTGAGGGCCAAGATGGGCCAAGTCCCAAACAGCACGGGAGAGGATTTTTGCTGAGGACCGGGGGCCTGGAAGATCGGGCTTGGAAAGCTTGGAGTCTGCCAACAAAAAACCTCCCCCCCCAAACAAAATATCATGTTAGTAGGCTTCGCGTTCCATGGGGAAGTAAATTGTTACTAGTAGTAAGGCACCTGTTACTACTAGCGATGCACTTGTTACTAGTAGTAACAAGAAGCTTTTAATTTATTTTGATTTAGTTTAATTCTAATAGCTTTTTGTTGCTACTAGTAAGGCACTTGTTACTAGAAGCGATGCACTTGTTCCTAGTAGCTTCTTGTTACTAATTCTTGTTGGAGAAAATTATCCTTTTTGGACTACCGTGTGGCAGGGACCCGGACGCTTTGGGTTCCGGTCACCTGCATCCAACCACGCATGTATAGCTTTAAGGATGAATTGCTTGGAATTGGTGCCGATCTTTGGCACCTTCTTCGCCACGTAAGGCCCAGCCTCCGCGTAATTTGGCCCGCATCCAGCAACCCTGGAAGGTCCTTTTTCAGGGCAACGGTCACAAAGGTGTACTGTAATAGCACCAAGTCTCAGCTGCAAGATGGCCGGTGTTCCTACTTGTCCTTGCTGCATCCAGGCAGGCACTTCAGATGGATGGAGCAACAGCACTGATGTATGCAGCTAAGTAGCTGCACCCATCAGGGCTCTTCCTTTATCTACCCTGGCCCTGGCAGCATGCTCATCAGCTTCAAACTCAAGCAACGCCAGTAGAGCTTAAGCCACACCATGAAGCGGTGGATCTCTGGTGTCCACTCCTCTTGCATTGCGAACTTGTGTCTTTGACTATAATATGTTGGACCTCAGCAAGCCGGTTGTGATCACATGCAACAAGCTGTGGTACCGGGAGGGCAACAGCCCAAGACGACCATCCAATGTCTTCACCGAGAAGTCTCGCAACCTTGAGACCTCTTGAGACCTTGAGTCTCCAACCTGAGCAGCAAGATGATGCAAGCAGTTGCTTCAAGTTCCTTCGTGTCCCCTGTGCAACTTCCGCCACACAAATATTACAGCCGGACAGGAGCATCATGGACGAGCGAATCGTCTGCGCGGTTCTGGGGGGGGGGTCGAAGGCAGCAGCATGAAGACACAAAGCCGAAGGCGTTAAAGTTTCCTGACACAATGAAATGCTGACCGTCATCCCATGAGCCATGAGTGTTTCTTCCCTACAGTGCCCTGTCCGAGACAATATATACATACGTGCATATATATATATACATATTGTTTGCGATCTCGTTCGTTTGGCCAAGTCCTGCATTTTGGCGGAATTGAGGACCTATAGACTCCCTTTTTGCATTTTAAGTCTATACCAATCTACAAATTATCATTTTGTGAGGACGTGTCTGGCTTCCTCTAGTGTTGCATTGTTGCTCTCCGCCAACTAAAAGTCATCCCCCCATGCCAAAAACTCTAAATATCATCTGAGAACACTTCAAAAATCCTTCAGACATTCCCCTGTTCCCTCCTGGACCGCACTGCCATCCTTTTGGGCACAGGCGGAATGCTGCCGGCCACGCCAGCCAAGTTTGGGCCACGCGGACCCGGCGTCGCGCCCACCGGAATCAGCCCGGTGTGTGGTTTAGTGGGTGAAAGTGAGGTGGGTGAAGCACGCTCGGTCTCCCCGCTTCTGTTGGGGGCATTTCGGAGACGAAACAAAACGCGCCATCGCACGCGGAGTGGATCGCACGTGCGAGAGTGTGTGATCCAAAGGACCAGAACTCTGATGTGAAACCATCGAGCTTAATTACCTTAACAGTAATTATACAGTAGACTATTTATAGATAATAAGTACTAATTATAGACTATATTTTTTCTTTATATAGACTTTTATCTTTTTTGAAGGATAGAATTCCAGTGAATGCCGCTGAGAGTATAGTCTCTTGGATTTGCGTTCTAAGATACAGCCGGCTCACTTTCACTCGCACTGCTTGTGGCGAAGGATGATATTTTCGTCACCTCAGTTGATGCGCCCAGAATCCGAAGCCCAAGTGTGCCATCCATACTGAATAGCAATCAAAATACTTGTCAAAGCAATCTCTGTGTTTGCAAGAGGTGCATTTCAGGGTCATGTGAGTTTCACTGGGCTGATTCATGCTGATTCAGTAGATCCTTAAGACCGCCAATTTTTCTGAAGAGCAATTCCAGATAACAGGCTTCCACATATTGTTTCCAGTTTTTGCCCCACTCGCTGACTACTCAATATGTACGACACAAGTACTGCCAACAAAAGCAACAATGAAAAACACATTGTTCAGATTGGCCAACTAAATTCCTCTTTTTTTATGAAGGAGGAGGCCATCGAGATTAGGTTGGAGGCCATCGCTATTAGGTTGGAGGCCATCGCTAGTAGGTTGGACAACTACTTCCCATATCTTCCCGTCATATTTTTTGGGATTTACGTTTTTGAGGATTGCCTTGTTTGTCCACTCTGAATGACTCTTGAGGGCCCAAGGAGCACTTAGCCCTGGTTCCTTGGAGAGCTGCTGTAGAAGCTTGTAATTAAGCCCAATTCTGAGGGAATGGAGCAATGCAACAAGGACATGTTTTGCACTTTACTTGTGAACCCACTGATACTTGGGGGTTATCCATCAATCACCAGCCATGGCACAAATAACCATCGCCTTTACAGAAATCAAACTCTAATTACCTCAACCCCCCCCACTCCCTGCCCCACTTCTGAAGGCCCCACTTCTCTCCAAGTCGCTGCATTCTCGCTGACGCCCCCGAAGCCGCTCCCTTCCGACAGCCGCGCCGTTCCCGGCGCCCGCTCCCGCCGGGTCCGCCGATCCCGCGGGAGCCCCGATCCGCCACCGGGGCCATTGGAGCGGATGGTGCGACGCTTTCCGCCCATGTCCCGATCCTAAGAGAGGCAAAACGTTTCATCTGACAGATCAGTCGCAGTATTTGTGCTGTCTTTTGAGTTCGGATATAGTCTTTTATTCAAGATGACAACTGTGCCTCTAGCACCTGATTTCCATGGAGGAAAGTCGGCGAAACCTATCTTGCTTGACGATTTACATAAACTCTTGCTCTCTTGGGGCCTCTCAGAACTGCCAGAACTTGGGTGAAATGGGCCTATTCATGTCAAAACAAAGCTGGCCAAACAAACAGATTGGATGTTCAAAGATCTGGTGTCTGCAACCAACCTTCAAAGTTTGACGAGCTCATTTTCCTAAGGTGGGGAACGTTAGGTGCTCACCTTAACCTCTTGCTTTTGACAAACATGTGGGAACCAAAGTGCAGTTGTTTCATGTTACTCGAAATGATACTGTAGCCCTGTAGCCCTTTGGATGTTGCCTAAGAACAAGCAGCAAAACCCATTGATACAGGTATGTAGGAACAATCATTGACATCTATTAGTATATTTATGATTGACATGAAAGAAAAAGGACTGTTCCTCACTCTTTCTCCGCGGAAGACGACGGACGTTTCATAGAACCCGAAAGATCGGCCAGAAACCCAGCCAAGGTCCACCGTTCGGGTACCGCGCAACGACCGGTTCGGGCAACGACCTTGACCGTTCGCACGACGGAGCACGACGCTGTTCCAAGGCGCCATGTAGTGAGCCCAGAAGACGTCCGCCTTCGCACCGTTGGAGCCCGCGCTGTCAGTGTAGGTTCTTTCCCGCCGCGGCGGCAGCTCGGTCGACTTGTTTAAGATGTGCTCAGCCTGCTGGGCAAAACCTGGGAGGGACGGAAGCAAGTGATCAAACAGTTGAAACTCCTGAGCATGGAGGTAACTTGGGTGACATAGCTCATGGGAAACAAGATCCAGAAAGCACGGAACTGACTGACTGGTCAATTTTGGGTGGTTTGGTTTGACACCAAAGAGTCTTTCCCCTTCCTTGCCCTTTCAACCGGTGTATACGGTCCTAAAGAATCCGGTGCCAGGTGTTGGATGTTTCTGAACTCGCCCAGTCTTGTGAGACGTTTGGGAAGACATCCCTTGAACTTGATGTGTGTGTGAGTGTGTGTTTCATGCTGGGATGGTCTCCAAACAGGGATTCCCCAAAACGACTATGAAAAATGGGATCCCACATATTCAAGTGGGATACCACTCTTTCTGCTGGGTGAAAGGGGGCAAAAGTCTTCTTGGCACCTAAGAACAAGCTGGCTTGAACTCCTACGTGTGAGATGCTAACCATGGAGGGAGAGCCGTAGGTGCGTGGACATGGCAATTGGGCTGTTGCAGGCTGCTTTGCTCGGCAAACAGGTGGATGTCTATGGTAATGCGTGGGTAACCCACCCCGTGTACTAGAACAAGTCTCGTGTCTTGGCTTGTCCTTACGTTCTTGCTTCTAGAGCTCTACAATAACAGGCTATAGAATAGATGCTTGAGGAGGTCACTAGTTTTCCGATGAGGAACATTCAAGCCTCTGCACGGAGCATTCCAGTTGGGCCACCACACGCTCCATTGAGATGTCCAACTGCAGCTCGGTCTGTTGCGCCGCTGCCGCGCTCCCCGATGCTGCCGATGCAGTTCCGGTGAGCAAGGCGACCTTTCGACTTAAGTTCACGGAAAAGACGTGTTCTTTGGTGGCCTCCTTGCAATTTAAAGCAGCACTGCCACCTGGAACGCTGGGACTGCCCTGTGGCGCACTAAAGGTTATCAATGCCGGGCTGTTGCTCTCTCCTTCCTTTGGAACAATCCCCGCATTGAGCGTAGGACTGGTGAGCGTAGGACTGGATCCATCAAACTTCATCGACTTGACCGGTTGCGACCTGAGCCCCTTGACCTCTCCATAGACCTTGTCGATCTGCAACGCAAGGTGCTGGAAACAATCCTCACAGAGATCCTTGGCATCACGTTTGGACCTCCAAAAATGGCTATCTTCCCCAATTCGCTTGTTTTGCCACGCACAAGCAAAAACAAACATACACAAACAAACATAAAAATCAAAATAAACCTAAATCAACAAGCAGCATCTTCCCGCTTACAAGGTGACACAATTACTAAAACCACCGGCACAACCTCCCAGTTCACCCACCTCATCGCTGGGAGGACAGAAAAAAACACGCATATCCTCCCATCCCTCACATTCCATCTAACGAGGACCCGTACATGTTTTAGCATTATCGGATGCCAACTTGGCCTTGAAACTTAATATTTCGAAACATCACACAGTATTTTCACTTCTGCGATGTCCAAAGCAACCACCTGCAAGGATGAACAATCTTAAGCCATATGTCACACGCAAACATAACGAACATGTTTCGTCCAAGAATCATACATATCTTCTTGAATCTTCATGGACTGCATCAAATTGTACTTGATAAATCGTGGCGCCGTCTTGGAATCATGTGCCCATCTGCTCAGAGGACCAATGAACTCGGCGGCCTCAATTGAACCTGAGCCTCAGCGAAGCCATGGGGGCACCCGTTTTTGAGCGCTGGCAACAAGCTGTGAGTTCTACTTGGGCAACAAAAAACCTCGATTTGGTGGAAAAACGTCGATTTGGTGGGATAATGTAGACGAAAGGTATCAAACCATGTAAAACCAGCAAGCACTGTCTGCACAAAACAAGCTCGTTTGCTCTAATCTTCCAAAGGTGTTCCAACTGCTAGATTAAAACTGATGGACATCCTGGATGCAGGAATGCATCTGGATTCCGGATGATATGCATTATTCAAGCAAAGTGTCCATCTACATCAATCATTTCAAACAGCATCTGCAAGTCGCTTTCATCAATGTCCATGACCTTGGATCGACCAAGCCGCGACATCAATGCACGTTGCACCTACAACACACAAGCACCGAAACCTCAGCCTTGGCGCCTAACACATGATCCGCAAAGGAAGAAACTCACACTGACAGATGGAATACGTCAACTTACAATGAGTTTAGCTGCTGCACGCACACAATTTCCTGTCTACGAGGTGGGAACCACCAATGGACTTTTTGAATTGTGTCCTCTGAAGAAGTTTCTTCGGGGCCAATGACCGCAAAACATGGCAGGTGTGACAACTAATGATACTAATGCACATCCTCCGCACAAAAAGGCTGTAGGTGGTTTTGAAGCACTTTTTAAGCCTAGAGCAGCTGCTCTTCGAGAACAACGGTCTTTACGCAGTTTTGGCAGCGTTGCCACCAACATTGTTTCAAAAAAGGGCAAGCATTGTATATGTCACTGTGTTTGGCGCCTTTTTTGCATGTCATAACCGGTGTTTTGCATTTCAACATCGCACAACCGCAGGCAAATATGGCAGAACTAAGGAGTTGTCGTCAGATTCTCTTACGCAGCTTCTCAGCTCATTCGGTGGGGCAGCGTGCTTAAGCGCAAGCGCGCTGACCGAGTACCACTCTGTGCACAACTCTAGACTCTAGACCGCCACGCTTGAACCATCCTTCCGGTGTGCGAAGCCGCAAGTGGTCTTCAACATGTAACTCCAAAGGCGGACCTATAGTAGCTACCTAGTATCACTAGTGTTGTGTTGAGCAATGGCAGCCATACATGACCAACCATCAAATACATTTTGTTGTGAAAAAAAAAGCAAAACAAATGAACATGCAAAAGCAGCGCAATTTACTTTGTTTTTGCATTTGTTTTGTGTTTTTTTCCCTGGTACCACTTCTGCACTTATGAGAACTTTTACCCGTCAGCAATATTTGCTGTACGCTCCTAGGAAAACAGCGAAAATAAAGCGGACAAAAACATGCGAAAATAAAGCGAAACAAAAAAACATGTCAAACACAGCGACAAACACGCACAGCTACATTTGTTTGCTTTTTTGTTGCTTTACCTTTTGCTTTTTGTGTGCTTTTTTTGCTTTAACAACATGTGTTGGCTCCTTGTATCTATGGCTGGCGTGCCCGACGCAACCCTAGTGGTTCGGTGGCTCACCTATTCTAATCCGTTCGATTGTGAATGAATATATACTAATTATATAGATGTTAAGCGAAACACACTTGCCAGCTCCATCACAGGGATGTCTTCCTCCGTCCACATCAGTCCGGCTAGAAAACCTATATAAGCCTTCTCAATCCTTCTCACGTTGCCTCCCCCCAACCTCGGCATTTTCTCCCTCCACCTTTCCGAACTTCTCCAACCTGTCAGTCACAGTGGCTGCGCCCAACCTCCAGCCCCAGGCCAAGTGGCTCGCAACCTGCTTTGGAAGATGGGATCCTTTCGAGCTCCTTCAATCAGCTCGTCTAACGTCACCTTTTCGATGCGAAAGACGCAGTCATTCGAGTCGAAAGACGGAGCCAGAATTCCGGCTCGGGGGGATGTGGGTGCCTGGTGGCGCCTGTTTCTGAAGGATCTCAACCGTGCCACTAAAACAAACAGATCTTGTGGATGATCTGGGAGTCCACATCTGATCAACAGAAAGGCAAATCAAAACGACATAAATATATAGAACAAGCAAGGCGTCATTGATACCGAAAACAAGAAACCACCAAAACTGAATGGCCTGCCACTGAGCTGGAGTTTTGGAAGGGATGTTTGCCAACTTGTGTCTTCCTGTTTCCCTGAATACCTCGCTTTTGGGGGGCATCGATGCCGCATTCAGCCATTGGTGCGACTTCCGCAAGTTACGACGAGTTCGACTCAAGGCGAAAGCAAAGCAAAGAGCTGTGTTCCGTTCGTTTTTCCCCCGCAGACCTTCCGGATCTGGGTCAGTCAAAAGATTTCAGAATGCATCTGTGAACATTTTCTGGAAGATTCAGTGATGGCCTTTCGAAGCCCGGTCGTGCAAAAACTGTTTCATAGGCTCTATATAGTATAATACCCATTTGATGCAATTGAGGGTGTCTGATTATTTGATCTATAGCTGGATTTGAACTAAAACTGAATTCTGTTTCATCGCCTCAGCTTTTCTGGTCTAACGATCCTGATTCGTGACCGATCTCGTGACCGAGCGTCTTGGCCACTGCCGTCCGCGTCGATCCGCGCAAAGAGCTTGGCCAAGGACATCCGATCGTATTCGACCTGGGCGGTCCGTGGAGAGCTCGATTGAGGGCGACGAAGGTGTGGAGAGCTCGATCGGATGGTTGGTGAGTGGATTTTGTTATTTGGTATAGCCCAGTATAGTCAGTACAAGGATCAAAACCAGGGGGTAGCATGCTAGGTAGCTCACCGACTTGTGAGCAGTGCACAGTATAGGAGAATATACAGTTGGTAGCTATATACAAGTAGTAAAGGACAACCCGACTAGTCGTCCTGCTAGTTTCTCAGCTGGTTGTGCCACCAACAACAGCAATAACAAAGATTTATCCAAGATTCACATCAAGGAAGGGTAAACAGCATGGAATGGGTGATTGAACTGCCGGCCAGTGGTTCTCATTGGATGACATCGATGGCAGGTCCGGAAATCGGTGATTACAAAGCAATCTTCCACCTGAAGGACTATCTGCTACTAGGAACAAGAAGCTATTAGAAACAATAAAGCTTAAGAAGCTATCAGAACCAAGAATTAATTGTATTTTGTACTGCTATCTGCTTATAACAACCTGTGGACCTGCGGAGCCTGAAACACCGCCGTGGACGGCGACACGAATTGGCCCCTTCTTCGGCCGTTTCCTGAAACACAAAACACACCAAAGGAACGGCCGTTTGAAGACAAACATGTGCCACGCTACTAGAAACAGGTGCCACGCTTCTAGGAACAAGTGCCACGCTTCTAGGAACAAGTGCCTTACTAGTAGTAACAAGAAGAATCTAATTAGAATTACACAAGGAAGGGTCCACTCATCCCCTGTTGCAGGGATGGGGTAGACTACCCCGCCGGATTTCCGCCGGTCCACAGGATTGGTTCCGGTCCGACCGACCATACCATGGCTTTTCTTGACTCAAGGAAGAGAGAAATCAGTGGCTGCCCAAAATCTTGCAATGTAGGTGAACACTAAACAATAGAACGGATCACAGCGAGAAGTTTTCCCATTGTGGAGGTTGTTCGCTTTGACCCAAGCTCGGTGTTCGACCAAGAAATCACGCCCTGAACTGGCTGCGAGTGGCAAGCGGTGCAGTTAGCTAAACAGTTGTTAGCTTTAATAGTCACCCACAACAGGCCAAGGGCCCGTAGAGAAGTCACAAACCAAGCGGCTTCATCTTCCATCTCTTCGGCAAGATTCTGAACATCATTTTGCCTGCCACTTTGACAACTTTGCATCCATAGGATGGTCGATGCATACTATTTTGTGGCCATGTAAATGTAGACTAATCATGTTGACCGTAGAAGCGAGCCTTTTGCGTGAGAGCAAGTCACCCTGTTGCATAAATACAAACATCCTCCTATCACACCAAAGGCAAAACCAAGATTTGCCCGTCACTTCGAAGAATTAGGAGAATTGTAGCACTGAACGACCCCAACTTACTTAGAGAGAAGACTCAGAAGACTATTGAACGAGGAATGGGTTTGGCACACCTTGCATCGGCAAAGGTGTCGACGACTACAGCAACCACCAGATTGAGGACACCAAACACCAGCGTCATAAAGGAGCCCATGAGGATAATGGCTGTCTGCGGGTAACTCCTCAGCACTTTTTGGAAGAGCGCGCGAATGATGTCAGAACACATGATACTATCGGAGGTGGGTATGGCGGCAACATCCTAAATCGAACCAATGAACAAAAGCCAAAAGCACTGGGGGTGTTCCAGCACCTGCAAACTCAATCAAGATTGTATACTGCATATATAAGCTGTGGAAGCCCATGTTGAGCTGTGAGATTAAAAACAAAATAAAGAGTGCATCCGTTCTCGCAAGACATGAGCTTTTTGTTTGGAGCTCAATTGAACTGCGGGCGTGTTTTGGCCTTGGAGATCTTTGGCTGATGAACCGGCCACAAAACACGGCCGAAAAGGAGTACTTGAGAGGAGGGAGACACGAAAGGTAGGACAGCGGGAAGAGAAGAGAACGCGAGAGGCAAGAACAAAAATGCAATGTTCGACATGGTGATTTATCCCCTCGGAGGCGACCTTTCGTAAATCGTAAATATATGTTCATATGCACTCTATATAATTGTTCAAACATATGCTCTGGAAATGTTCAAAAAGATTCTTAGGAAAACAAACTTGCCCCATGGATCAGATCATCGGTGAGCATTGAATCGGAGCATCATAGGATTTGAACTATCCTGAAACCATAAGAGGCTCACGAAGACGCTCCCCAGGAGAGAATTGACGTGCTTCACAAAACAAACTCTAGGTATGTATCCCCTCGGATCCCCTCGGGGAACACCTTTCGTGATTAGAATTTCATATGCACTCTTTCTAAATGTTCAAGAGGGTTTCAACTATCCTGAAATCATGAGAGGCTCACGAAGACGTTCTCCAGGAGAGAATTGAATTTAGAGGGACGGGGGGGGTCTGTATTGAAAAATCAATTCCAAGGGGGTGGGGGGGGGTCTGTATTGAGAAATCAATTCGAGGGGGGGGGGGGGGGGGGGGGGGG